ATTCTATATTCTTTATATCGAGAGCAATAATATTGAACACGGTATCTGGCAGTAAGAATAAGCTCTATATCGATGATATCGAGACAGTTGTATTAGAAACCTGAAGGAATATCAGGAGAATCAAATGATAATAGAATGTTGAACGATGAATATGGATGAGATCAACATCTAGATCATTATACTACGATTCATCGTCCGGTCTCTAATTCTATACTCTATATATCGAGAGCAATAATATTGAACTCGGTATCTGTCAGTAAAGATAAGCTCTTTATCAATGAGATCGGGAAAGATCTATCATAAACTTGAGAGACTATCAGGTGAATCAAATGATAATAGAATGTTAATAGAAACCTTTTGGAGCGAATAATAATAGATCGACCTAATCAGTTTTCGATTAAAGATTTACTATTACCTTTCACAATCTGTCATATTTCCCCAAAGAACTTTTTATCATTTGTACTGATATCTTAAACGCACGATATATGAATATCTAGATCATGATTCGATTCGATTTTGGGGACACAAGGAACTAAGACCAGAAATCTATTGAGTTCACCATGACAATGCCATGGGGCCCTGTAAGTTCCTGCTGAGAAATCTCTTAATACAAAATCCTAATAGGGATCGATCTTAAACTATATGCTTGGCAATGTTCCATCGTAGCATTGCCTAAAATGATCTGATAGCATCTTAGATTAATATATCCTACGATATTTTAAAGGTATTGAGAAGTTGATCATGTATCTATATTAGAGCGTTAAAGTCGGTCTTAAGAAGCAATAAATTCTTGGATTTTTTCCTTTGTCAGTGTTACAAAATGAAGTAACTATCTTAGACTACAGAGTTCTCAAGGCCGAACACAATCAATCTCTAACTAGAAAGCAGACTTTGTAGGATATTCATGGATGATAAAAAGTTCTTGTCTGATAAATAGGAGTCGATCTGCCATTATTTAATATAATGGTCGTTTTATAAAGATTTACAATTTTTTTTAAATACTAAAATATTCCTTTAATATTCTGAAATATAAGAAAAATTATAATTTGGATGCAAGAATTTTTGTTGATCATTATTATAATTAATGCTCCATAAAAAATTTGTGGCTTCTAGTCTTTTCTTTTTTTGGGTATAGCTTAAGTATTTCTCTGAACAATTAGCACTGATCTTCAAATGATCTTTTCTTTAGAAATGTGCGTTGTTAAAAATAATACACTTCCTCAGAGACACCTAAGTCTCTTCCAAAGTAAATGCATTAATATTTTGTCAAAAAAAAGTAAATATTTACTTTTATTTACAATTTTGTTGTATTTTTTATGTTTTATTTATAATTTTTTATGACTTTTTTTTGTTATATTTTTTACTAAACTTTACTTGTTGTGTAGTCGTCATAAATACGTTACGTTTTGCAGTTGTGTTTATTTATTTGTTCTTATTTTTGCTTTTTTATTATTATTATTTTTTTTTAGTATTTGAGGCATTATCTTTATACCAAAAACATCCGGTCAATTTTTTTTTTTTTTTAAATTTTTATTTCTATTTTTTTAATGAAATGTATAAAACGCATTTTCACATGTGTTTTGCAAATGACATAAAAAAAACGTTCAACAAAACACAAAGTCAACAATTTTATTTTCTAAATGAATAAAACATACATTTTTTTCAGACTGTCACAATCAGTTGAGGACAAGGAGCGGGCGGGGAGTTGTGGTTAAGCTTTGCATCTTTCATTAAGTCAAAAAAAAATGTTGTTACATTTTATTGAATATTTTTAAAGATGTCGACATCAAATATGTAGTTAGAGTATAGGTGCCAAAATTATAACCATTTTGTTTATTTATAAACAATTTAAAGTGCTGTCTGTGCTTTTAAAATACAAAAATAAAATGGAATTAAATAGTTCTTAGGAATTCTAACTTTAAAGGGTTTCTGGCAAGTTAGTATCGAAAATAATTGACTTTTGAAAAATAAAGTTTTAGAGAAAATTTCGTCATAAATTGTCATTTGTTTTGTTGGATTAGTTAATACACTACTGACTAGTCTGTTGACTTGTGTATTTACTAATCTAATAAATAGTGTATTGAGTAGTCTGTTGACTAGTCCAGTAACTAATCTATTGAGTAGTCTATGAAAGAGTCCTTTGACTAGTCTCTCGACTAGGACCTAGTCTGTTGATTAGTCTAGTAATTAGTCTATATGGAAGAGTCTATTGAGTAGTCTGTTGACTAGTTTATTGACTAGTCTATTAACTAGTATATTAACTTGTCTATTAACTTGTCTATTAACTAGTCTATTGACTAGTCTCTGGAAGAGACCAATGACTAGTCTCTCGACTAGTCTATTGACTAGTCTATCGACTAGTCTATTGACTAGTCTATTGACTAGTCCATCGGCTAGTCTGTTGACTAGTCTATTTACTAGTATATTAACTTGTCTATTAACTAGTCTACTTGTCTCTGGAAGAGACCAATGAGTAGTCTCTCGACTAATCTATTGACTAGTCTGTTGACTAGTCTATCGGCTAGTCTATTGACTAGTATATTGTCTAGTCTATCAACTAGTCTGTTGACTATTCTCTCGACTAGTCTAGGACCTAGTTTATTCAGTAGTCCGTTGACTAGACTAGTGACTAGTCTTTCGACTAGTGTATTGACTAGTCTATCAACTAGTCTATTAACTAGTCTATCAACTAGTCTATTGTCTAGTCTATCAACTAGTCTATTGACAAGTCTTTCAACTAGTCTCTTGACTAGTCTATGGAAGAGTCCAATTACTAGTCTGTTGAATATTCTCTCGACTAGTCTAGTCTATTGAGTAGTCTGTTGACTATTCTAGTAACTAGTATATAGAGTAGTCTATTGACTACTGTATGGAAGAGTCCAATGACTTGTGTGTTGACTAGTCTAGGTCCTAGTCTATTGTATAGCCTGTTGACTATTCTAGTAACTAGTATTTTGACTCGTGTATAGAGTAGTCTATTGACTAGTCTATCGACTAGCCTATCTGACAGTCTTTTGACTAGTCTATTGAAGAGTCTAGTGACTAGTCAATTGACATGTACATATATCTGTTTGTTGACTAATCTATTTTCTAGACTATGAAAGCGGAGCTCTTTTTCTTTATGAATATGTTCTTTCTTAATGTTTAGCTCCTCGAGAGATGTGTTTCTCTTTGCCACAGAAGTTTATTAACTTGTCTATTAACTAGTCTATTAACTTGTCTATTAACTAGTCTATTGACTAGTCTCTGGAAGAGACCAATGACTAGTCTCTCGACTAGTCTATTGACTAGTCTATCGACTAGTCTATTGACTAGTCTATTGACTAGTCCATCGGCTAGTCTGTTGACTAGTCTATTTACTAGTATATTAACTTGTCTATTAACTAGTCTACTTGTCTCTGGAAGAGACCAATGAGTAGTCTCTCGACTAATCTATTGACTAGTCTGTTGACTAGTCTATCGGCTAGTCTATTGACTAGTATATTGTCTAGTCTATCAACTAGTCTGTTGACTATTCTCTCGACTAGTCTAGGACCTAGTTTATTCAGTAGTCCGTTGACTAGACTAGTGACTAGTCTTTCGACTAGTGTATTGACTAGTCTATCAACTAGTCTATTAACTAGTCTATCAACTAGTCTATTGTCTAGTCTATCAACTAGTCTATTGACAAGTCTTTCAACTAGTCTCTTGACTAGTCTATGGAAGAGTCCAATTACTAGTCTGTTGAATATTCTCTCGACTAGTCTAGTCTATTGAGTAGTCTGTTGACTATTCTAGTAACTAGTATATAGAGTAGTCTATTGACTACTGTATGGAAGAGTCCAATGACTTGTGTGTTGACTAGTCTAGGTCCTAGTCTATTGTATAGCCTGTTGACTATTCTAGTAACTAGTATTTTGACTCGTGTATAGAGTAGTCTATTGACTAGTCTATCGACTAGCCTATCTGACAGTCTTTTGACTAGTCTATTGAAGAGTCTAGTGACTAGTCAATTGACATGTACATATATCTGTTTGTTGACTAATCTATTTTCTAGACTATGAAAGCGGAGCTCTTTTTCTTTATGAATATGTTCTTTCTTAATGTTTAGCTCCTCGAGAGATGTGTTTCTCTTTGCCACAGAAGTTTAGAGAGAAGTCGATGTATTCTTCGGAGTGTCCTAGTATTGATTTTCAGGAGCATATTCTTAAACATCCTCCTCTGTGTCTCAGATATACGTTTATCGGTGGTCGATAGCTTAGCTATGCTGTCACTAAATATTCCACCATTTATTCACTTCATTATTGTTTTCATCACCTGAGGAAATCGGAAACCTCATTCGCATTAAAAGGCAGAAGGCCAAAATTGTCTCGAATGTTTTGAATGTTTGGAAAAGAAATGCCATATTTTGACAGTTATTGTAATTTTCTCAGTTTGGTTCATTAAATGATTCATTAAAACTTTTACTAAATTACAGCTGTGTAACTTTGACAGTTGCCAAAATTTATGACATTTATTGTTATTGTCTCAATTTTCGTTTCTATTCTAGACATTCAGAATCAATTACATTTTTTTAATTGTATATATTATTTCATTGACTGCATGGCGTAATATTGAAAATTATAATATTTTAACATTTCTTATTGTCAATTTCTCAATCTAGTTTACTCTCTATTAATATACATTTCAGAAAAATGTATAAAATAATATTTAAGAGTAATTTTTTTGGAAAAACTCATATCTAGAGATATAAACCAATTGTCTAGTATTAGTTTTGATTTCTTTAATTGAAATAGTTGTCTTGAGCAATATGCTTTAGTTTTTATACTCTAAATGACAGCTGTTTAACTTTGACAGTTGCCAAATGTCAACACCTCAAGTTTATGTTTATGTCTCAATTCTCAATACTTTTCAAGACTTTCAAAATCAATTAAAATTCTTTATATATTCATTATTTCAATGACACTTTTAATTCAATTCATTTATTTTTAATTCTTTCCTTTTTTTGCTATATTTTCCAGATACAAACTCACAGCAGAGATACATTAATCGAAATGTATTCAAATGAAATTAATGAATTTCAATACCAACAAAACCCAAACACATCTGTCAACAATTAAAATTTATGGAAGAAAAAAATCAAAAAAAAAAGCGAAAAAGTAATCAACACCCAGTGACGACAATATTTTTCAATGTTACGACAACGACCAGCAGCAACATTATCACAAGGCGTTGTTTTTTTGTGTCATACAACCACGCCTCTTCAATTATGGAACGATAAAAATCAAATAATCATGATATCAGAAAATGATTAAATAAATTACTTGGTTTTTTTTTCTACACTATTACTTTTTAATAGTTATAAAAATAACTGAAAAAAAAATTGATAATTAATCGTTAAAGTTAAAATAATTAAAAAAATATAAATTAAACAAAAAAAAAGATTCAACACAAAATGAAACAAAATATTAAATTGTCAACCCAAGGTTTAAGTCATCATCATCATCAGCAACACTGTAATGATGATGAAGATGATGTTGCACTACAAGTGCAACCCTCGCATTATAAACAGCGACAGCAGCAACTCTTGCAATCCTATAAACACTGCAAACGGCGGCGAAAATCTTTAGCAATGCAGCAGCAAAACAACATTGTATTACCAGTGACAACGACAAGAACCTGCGATTTAAATATGTTTACTAACACAACCACACAAATAAAACCCTTTCAATCGAAGTGCTGGAGTATATTAAATACCAAAAGTCAAGATTCCCTTAAAAATTTAAGACAAATCAGAAAATTACTAAAGAAATTTCTATTATTGGCCACAATACTCTTGATAACAACAACATGTTTAAGAGCAACAACAATCTGTCAACCTATAGAGGCGGCAACAATAGCTACAGCAGCCTTTCCAGCAACATCAGCCACCTCAATACAAGGTTTTCAAATACCACCCTTAAATGCTCTACTAAAAGCTGCGGCAGCACAAGATTCACAAATAACCTCAAACAATAGTCCGTCCTCAACGTTACTGCCAGCATCATCAGCAACATCTATTTCCACCTCTTCATCGCCTTTGGCTTCAGCCAGCTCTACACAACAACAGCAACAACAAAGACAATTACAGCAACAACAATTGTTTGCTCTACTCAAACTGAATAGTATGCCACAAGCTGCCACACAGGAAACCAAAAAATCCTCCTCTTCCTCTTTAGCATTACGTACGAAAAATCTTAAGGATAAACAACGTTATAATCACCATCATCAACATCAACATCGACGACGACCGCCTCATCGTCATCTTAAAGAAGATAATGCTGATTACGCCGATGATGATGACGACGATGATGAGGAGGAGGATGACGATTTTAATTTTCCCATACCACGCAATACTTTATTAGAAACTACCGGCTTTGTGGCCGATGATGGTCAACAATATGAGAAAGCTGAAAAAGCTTTAGCTGCTGCTGGTATTATACCAGCTACAGGATCTAATACGCAGCAACAACAGTCATCTTCTGCAGCCTCTTCGTCCATAGCAAATAACAACTTAAATTGTCCCAAAGAGTGTAAATGTTTGAATGATTATTTCGATTGTGGTAAAAAACATTTAGATCGTGTCCCACCACTGCCCGGTTATGTACAAATAATGTAAGTTTTAATCTTTCTTAAGTTTTTTATTAAGTGTTTAAACACTTCTCTCTGGGATTTAGTAAGATAACGTATTAAAAAATAGTTCTAAAGTAGGTCTGCTTGACATTAGTTGAACTTTTCATCACTACTTCATTGTACCATTGAAACATTTAACATATTTGATCAACTTTCTGAAAGTTACGATTATAGATTACCCTGTATCCAGACCTTATCTCCTTTTATAGGATTAAGATCGAAATACAAAAAAGAGAATGAAATCTGTTCTATGTCGATGTAATCATACAGATAGATGCGTTCCTCATCCTTATTGAAATCAAGAAAATATTTCATTCTAATTCAACAGAATGCTTTGTCGCCATTTTATTTAAAGAGTTGAATTATAGTCAATGTTATGTAATTGGACAGCTTGACTATATCCGACAATATTTAATACATAGTCCACTCATAGCTCATTTATAAGAATTCCTATTATTATAATAAAAAGTTGGTTCACTGTCACCTTTAGGTTAGCGTGGACTGATTATATACCAGATTGTGATTCTAAGCACAGAAAGAGTACCTCCAAAGAAAGAATCAAGAATTAAGATCAAAGGAAAAAACAGAAAGAATAGAAAAATAGATAGTACTGAAACTGCACTGAGACCTAAAGGATTCCATCTACATCAACGCTTAACCTGCAGAAGTCTGGTACAGTATTGTCCTACTTACTGACAGAATAGAACAATGCCCCGTTGTCATCCCTATGTATCTAAGTCTTGGCCATAAGGCCTTAGATTCTGTACAATCCATTCTACTATTGCAGGACTTTTTGATTATTTTGCGGAATCTATCAGAGATCAACCTATAATAGTGACAAATAGGTGATTTTAATCTCCTGGCCCTTTCATCGGGGTGTAATAGTGATGTTTACCGCAAGCAGAACATACATTAATAATAGTACGGTCTATGCGGGCTCTTGCTATTATTATGGGCGAGCTCCGTTTGATACTTAAACATCTCTATGAATGTCGATCCAATCTGCAAATTACGATCCAATAGATCATGTTCCTTTATCGAAGACTAATGCGTCTAGCATGGTTTCAAAATTTACAGCGGCCAGTAACAATCGAATTGAGCACGTGTGTTCACGCGACCATCATTCACGAGCAATAGAGGATCAGTTTTCAATAATCTGCCTCTTTATTACAAAAAGTGTAACACCGCAGAACTGATATTTTTCCGGTCCGCTAAGCTTGGTGCCAACTCTTGTCAGCAATATTATTGCCATACGAACTACCGTGTCCCCTGACCCTGAAATTAGGGTGATGTTCAAATGTCTCGCCATCTTGTTGAGAAACGTCCGACATTCATGGACAATTCTAGTTTGTAAGGTGATTGTGTGTAAAATAGAATAAATTGTTGAGAGAAAACTTTCCTTTGATACAGCTGTTGCTAAGTTGAAAATCTTTGGGGGAGTTGTAATTCAGGTTACGTTGGAGACCATATAATACTCGAACTTTTATACCCTGGTCGAGACCATTAAAACTCTTCAACTTTACTGGTGGAGTACCATAAAAACTCCAATTTTACTTAAGTGTTTAAAGGTTTCCAGCTTTCTGTATGAAGATATAGGTCGACTTGGATTGCCATTAGGCAATGTAAAGTAGGTTTGGCTGAGCAGTGGAATATGTGTTGGCGAAAACTTCGTTTTCTCGTGTAGATGAGGTTCTGTGTCTTTTGCAAACACCCCGTTAGTCCTTAGCGCAGCATTTTGACATCTTTGAATGTTACTCCACAGGGTATAACTATTCGAAGTTTACAGAACAACGTCTTCACGAGGAAACAGTTCTTTCTGGGATACCATCGGAGGAATCATTCTAAAAAATATGACGTAGTTGAAGTCTCCCCCGTGGCATGTCAGAAAAGATATTTGAATGAACGACAACTTCATACAGCTATATATACGCACATGATCCGTTTGATAACGTATCGTACATGGCAGCACTCAACAATACGTCGAGTTCGTCCAGCACTCAACAATACATCGAGCATAACCAACCACTGACTGGCTAATTATATGTAGCCGGCAGTACCATGCTCTTTGAGGACCTTTCTTTTTCAGAATTTATGCGTGATTGCAGTGGCATGAGTCAATAGTTTGTCAAATGCAATGCAATGATTTAGATTAACTTCATTCTCTCGTGGAGTTTAGAGAGGTAGAAACGGTAATAAAACTCCATCTTAGGTAACAGCGTTTATCTCAAACCTCTACGAACGACTGGCGGTCACTTCTGCTTCTGTTTCTTCTGACATCTAGTTCTCTGTCTTTTTTTTTAATAGTTTCTTTTTTAGCGTATATCAATCTCTATTCTGAGGATTATATGATCTCCAATATGTCAGGTGTTAGGAGGCTAAATTGCCGCGATACTATAAACATTTTGAATTCTATTCCCAAATCCCATACTAGTTCACTTTAAACAATAAGTTAAAATCTCTTTAAATCCTAAAGATTTTTTTCAACCACCAATTAATTGATCGATATTAACATCCCTAAAAGGACATGTGTAATGCAATCAATAATCGTACATGTATTACTTACTTACTGACTGACAACATAATAGATTTGTCAAACATTTAGCAACCAAAAGAATAATACATTTTACATTTTAAAGACAACCACCCTCTAGGAATTAATAGACATTTAAGAAAGATTCTTTCCAAAAGAGGGTGAAATTTATAAAACCCCCCCCTCAAAGAAGATTATCTTAATGATAATGAAAATTAATCCTGACATTTACTATTTACCCTTAATTTCTTTGCAGAGATTTCATTGGCAATAAATTAAATGATACAACAGTTTTGCAAATAAAAAATTTACCGGAACTAAATAAATTGTAAGTATTTTTTAATGGAAAATCTTCCCGAATTTAACGTTTATAACAACAAAATCTTTATAGGGTTTTAAAACGCAACCAATTGGAAACGGTACCGAAATTTGTGGGCCTCAGTTCGTTGAAACAGCTTAGTTTGGCCCACAATCGTATACAGAAAATATCTGCTGAAGCTTTGGCGGCCTTGCCAAAACTTAAGGCTTTAGATTTATCCAAAAACTATTTGCATACAGTTGAAGCCAGTTATTTTCCCACAGCAAATCGTTTGGCGCATTTGTAAGTTTAGATCTGATTCATTTTGGGGATAACTAACTGAATACCTCCTTTCTTTTTTAAGAATTTTGAATGGCAATGAAATAGCTAGTATCAGCGAAACTGCCTTTACTAACCTGGCCGATTTATTGGATTTGGAATTAAATAACAATCGTTTGACTTTATTGCCTGCAGGGGTTTTTGAAAATCTGGGCAAACTAAGAAAACTGTAAGTTTTTTCATTAACAAAGCTTTTAGAGGTTGTTTAAATCTATATTAATCCCCATTTTAGATCTTTAAACTATAATCATTTGGAGATCAATTGGTCCACCTTTCGTGGCTTGGTGTCTTTGCAAAAGTTGTTTTTAAAATCCAATAATATTAGAGCTTTACAAGATGGTGTTTTCCATGTTATGACTGCCATAGAAACTATAGAATTGGATCATAACTATATCAGCTCTCTCAGTCGCCAGGGTTTATTTAACTTGACAAAATTACATCATTTATCTCTATCGAATAATTCCATATCACGCATAGAATTGGACACTTGGGAATTTACACAATCTTTGATAACCTTAGATCTTTCCCATAATAATATAACGGAATTTAAGCCACAACATTTGGATTGTTTACAACGTTTAAAACATTTGAATTTGGGTCACAATAAGATACAATATTTAATGGAAAATACTTTTGATTGTGTTAAAAATCTAGAGGATTTAAATCTACGGCGTAATAAACTTTCCTGGATTATAGAGGACCCGGGGGCGGCTCCTCCCTTTAAGGCTTTAAGAAAGCTTAAAAAGTTGGATTTATATGGCAATAATTTGAAACAAATTAATACAAAATCCTTAAGTGGTCTGTCCAATTTGGAATCTTTAAATTTGGGTGGCAATGCTTTGGCTTCCATACAGTCGGGAGCCTTTGATCATATGACCAATTTGCAAAAGTTAATGTTTAAATCTTTAAATTTCATATGTGATTGTGATATTTTATGGTTTAGACGTTGGCTGAACAGACATCTACAAAACACCAGCAATCAGAAGCAATTACAAACGCCGCAACAACATTTGAATTCAGCGCAAGCGGTTTGTG